ATCGCAGACTACGCTAAAGTCTATCAGACCATGCTGTATAATTTACCAATTTGTAAGTAGCAAGCATTGCAGTGAAGCAACTGACCCCGAGTTTCACAACACGCAGCTGCTACCTGGTATGTTGATGGATCTCTGCCACATCGGAAGGACTGGACAAGAAAATCAGTACAGGTAGACAAGAGCTGCCCCAATGGCTTAATAGTGAATGCTCCACAGTGTCTGCAAATAAAGAAAGAGAACATACAGATCAGCAAAAGCAAAAGAAAAAAAAAAAGCACCATTAAACTGTAATGAGGACAAATTATTAGAATAGAAAAAGAGACAATTGTAAAGAGAACATAGAAGGAAACAATGCAAGAAAAAGCACTTATCTGTACAGAAAGTATGTCCTAAGGTTTAGGGTTTTTGTTCCAGATGGAATATCATTCAATAGCACACAGTACTAGTATAAAATTACTATACCTCTCCCAAAATGATTACAAGACTTGCCCTTAAAAACCCCACAATTCATGTATATACACATGCATATATACAAACATGTATAAACATATGTATGCTTATGTGTATAATACACACAGAACAAGTTTTAGCTTATTACCCTTAACTGCAGAGAAAAAAGAGTATTTTACGTTCAGTTAAGTTTATAGAACGTTCATGACAAAGGCCAAGGTGTTAGCATCGTGCACCATTACAACCTGTACACACACATATATACACAAACTATATTACAAATGTATACCCTAAATTCCGTTTTGACATATGAAGATCCTCTTCTGCCTTTGGAATTAGAGGCAATATAATTACTGCCAATATACTGCAGATTGGAAATGCTCAAGCAAAGAATCTTTGACCTCTCTAAAAAGCATTTTCTTATAGTAAGTAGAAAATTCAGTTTTAAAGCTATGAAAAAAGACTGTAGAGAACAAATAGTGACAAAAACCAAACACAGAAACAAATCTGAAAACCAGGATACATTTCTATTATTGATAGGTTCTTGTTAGATTTATTGGGATTTCAGGGAAAAAACCCCATGAAAATACATACTAACTTTGCACTATTCTGTGCACTTCTAGAACATCTTCTGAAGAAAAGGGTAAGCTTAAAAGAAGTACTATAGTTCTGCACTCCAATCTGGTGTATAACACTTTTAGGTTTGAAGAATTAGATTAAGGAAGACTGTTAGACCTAGCCAAAACTAGTCTATTGTGGGAACTGGAGTGAAAAGTTTAGATAATGCAATAACGTAAGCCTCATTTTTTTTTTTATTTCACCTGAAGCTAAGTGTCCAAGCTCAAATAAAAGAGAGCACCTCCTCCCCTCTCCCAAGGACCTAAAAAAAGTCTCGTGTAGGATAAGATACTCCACCATCCTGTACTGTTAATGGCAGCCAAAACATTCTGTTTGATACAGACCATGCAAATAGCAAAAACTCTGAGACTAGAACCATGTCTACTCTGACAGGTATACTGCAGCTAGAAAAGATGACTGAGAAGAATAAAAAAACCCAAGAGCATTAACCAAAACAAACCCCACCCACCCACCTTCATGTAGCAGAACCTTTTATGCCTTTGCTCAGTTTTTGTAAACCGTGTTGCTCAGCTCCCCAGGCCTCACAGGTCTCCCTCATACACACACAATATCCAGTAAACATTTTTACCAGGCCAGCGTCTCAGAGATCTCTCAGACTCAACCACCCAGCAAAACAAAAATTTAACTCCCAGGTATTTCTACCAGGTCTGAAACCAAACAACACAAATTTCAATCTATAACCCCCAAAAGAAAACACCTGCAAGTAAATGCAAAGGATAATTAGCAAACACATGATCAAGGAGAGGGAATTCGTATTTTAGGTTCAAACCTGATCTTAAATACCAAGCCTAAAAAAATAAATCATAGTTGGAAATTGGGAAATGTTTTCTTCTATTTCTTGTTTAAGGCTATTACAAATTTTGTATTAAAATTTACATCAACAAAATGGTGGTAGGCTAAAGAGAATGTTCTGGTTTGAGATAAAATAGAACCAACTTTCTGTTCAGTAATTTTACTTCTTAGCTAGGCCTCTTCTAACTCTCTGAAATTAACAGTACATCGTGCAGAAAACTGTTTGCTTTTAGAGTGATAAGACTAATATTTACACTTCATGCCAAGGAACGGTATGCAGAGAGGCTCTTGCTTATACTTATTGCTATAACAACCAGGGTCAGCTAATTTCATTATTTGCCCCATTGGAGGGTCAGAAACAGAAAAGTGTAGAGGGGTCCCACCTGCGTGGGGGGATCAGACAGGACAGATGACCCAAAACTGACCAACAGGGATATTCCATCCCATCTGTAGCATGGTCAGTATAAAAGCTGAGGGATCAAAGGGTCAGTTCTCTCCCTTCAATGGCTGACATCCTAGGAGGACCCTGTCTGTTCATTTCCCTTTGATCCCAGTCCCTGTGTTCCTGACTCCAGAGCTAGCTAAAATCCAGTTCCCATCCATTACTGAGTCCAGTCTAAGACTTCCCCAGTGCCTACTGGTAACATCACCCTGGGGGCTTGATATGGTTTTGTATATATTGTATCTATTTCATTATTTTATTTTTATTTTATTATTAATATTTCATTAAAGTAGTTTAGTTCCTTCTAAACTTGCAAATCTCTTTCTCTCTCCTCTTTCTCTTCTGGGAGCAAGAGGTGGGGGGAGAGCATCTGTCACCGTCATTGGCCAAATTGGCCTAAACCACGACAGAATGAAAAATAAGTTAGAGAATTGCCAGAACTGAAGCTTTCTTTGTGAACTGCTGAATTATTTACGTGATTAATGAACGGAGTTTGCAAAAAGAGAACTCAGTTCATTAATCATATAACATCCACAACAACATGTTTAGAATGCTCACAACAGCAATGGAAACACTTGTGTAGACATCAGCAATTTTCTTTTTCAATAAAGATTTAATCAAATTTTGTTTGCTCAGCCTTGTGACTTCATTAAAATACGACTGCAGACCATGCTTTCTTTTGAGCTCCATTTGAAAGCTGTAAGAAGTCTGCAACTGCCAAAAATATCTTTAATACCGACTGTACCCATCCTACTCAACAATTAGGCCCAATGAGTCCAGAGGAGGGCCACAAAGATGATCAAGGGGCTGGAGCACCTCTCCTATGAAGAGAGGCTGAGAGAGTTGGGGTTGTTCAGCCTGGAGAAGAGAAGGCTTCAAGGAGATCTTATAGCGGCCTTCCGGTATCTAAAGGGGAACTACAGGAGAGATGGGGAGGAACTCTATCAGGGAGTATAGCGATAGGACGAGGGGTAATGGCTTTAAACTGAAAGAGGGGAGATTTAGATTAAATATTAGGAAGAAATTCTTTACTGTGAGGGTGGTAAGACACTGGAACAGATTGCCCAGAGAAGTTGAGGTGTGACTGCTCGGGGCAGAGGGTTGGAACTTGATGATCTTTAACGTCCCTTCCAACTCTAACCATTCTATGATTCTACTATTAATTTGATAAAGCTGTTTTGTGTTATACTCTTACATGGCCACTACTTGATAATTTTCAAGCAGCAGATACATTTGTTGGGATATTTTAACAAGACTACAGCCAGCAGGCAGTTCTTTTATGCAGCTGGGGAGCAGGCGGTAATGACACCACCACTTGCTTAATACACAGCAGTCTACTGGCAACATTTGCTCTTTCATTGACCCCCCCTCCCCGGCAAATCATTGTTGAGTGCTCAGCCACAGTGACAGACGCAATACAAGCTGATCATATTAATTACACATGGAATATACTCAAAACTTTAAGTGGGTACATGAAAAGGTAAGGTGAAACTTTAAAGGAAGAATATTCCAGAACTACTATTTGCTACTAAACAAAGCTAACTAAATAAAAATTAAAACCTGTCAGAACTATTCAGCCTCATCTTGTGATGAGTAAGATTATCAGAAATCAGTAAGGCTCTGTAAGGGTTTAAACTGTATCTGCGTATCTACTTGAGACCCAAACAAAGCAGAGTTTCAGTTTTGGGTAACAGAAGACTCCTGAGAACAATAGATAAGAATGAGCAAGAAATACAGTGAAGGAATGGACAGAATATTATGATTGCTGTGTTATACCAACTCCCTTTTCAGTATTTCTTAAAAATATGAATTGCTCAGGATTAGTATTCTCAAATTCATATTAAGCTTCTCTATTTTTTTTTGAGTACTGGCATTTTATTCCAAGATAACGCTTAATGTTACAGCCCCCTCTACTGGAAACATTTAGTAGATATTGTTACACAATAGTCTGGAGAAAACATTCTTCTCTTAAAAGAAATTGAAAAATAAATTAAAAAATAAATATCAAAGCCTATAACATGGCTTTGATTAATTTGCATTCAGTCTGTCATTTGTAGTTGAGTAAGCATCTTTCACAGAAGATTAAGTGCTGTAATATCAGGTAAAACTAATACCTTTAGTCCTTTGCTACATACCAGGTATGTCTAGGCTAAATCTAGTTTAGACAATATCTCATATGTTGTGCCAACAGCCTCAATTTGGGCAAAAGGACTTCAAACTGGGACCCAAAAAACCCAAAGAACTTGCATCATGCAACATCGAATAACCACCTTTCCAAACAGACATGCAAAATCAGAACTGCACATAAGAACACCCACAGGTGAACAACTGGAACAGTTTTTCATGTTCCATATTCCAAAACCCCACCTTGGCACAACGTGAGATGCTTATCTAAGGCTGCAAGTAATGAATTCAACTTCTCAAGGTCCAGAGTTTTGTAACCATAGTTTAAAAGAACGGAACAAGGTTCACTTTTTCCTCTCAAAATACATTCTTCATTTGCAGTTTTCTTTGTATGTCAAGTTTTAAAATGACTAGCCATGTTTTTGTTTTTTTTTTTTTAGTTTCCCAAATAGTTCCAAAATAAGTAACACTCATGTCCTCTGTAACAAAGCCTTAAGTGAGAAAAAATTTCAGTTTCTCTCCAACATTTCCGTTTTCCTTATTTATGAAATTGTTAATAGAAGACTTTCCATCGCTGCCCCTCTTCTCTTACTTCAAGAAGGGGGACAGCAAGACTACAGTGCTTTAACTATCTCAGTTTGATACTCACAGGGGCAGGCATGGCTATGGCACTCTGGGTGTAAGGCTGCTGATGTGGTGCTTGAACTCCATGATCAGAATACAGCTGGTATAAAAAAAAATAAATGCAAAAAATAAGCTGAAAAGTTTGTTCCACAATTTTATGTTTTTATAAACCTTTCATATGAATTTAGGTCCCTTAAAATTTCAAGTTGTGGGCTGTGTTTATCTAAACAACTGTCTTTTTACAACCCAAAATTTCAGTATTTAAATTTATGCTTTCCTGAATGTATTAAAGTTTGGTAAATTGAGTTTATCTAGATCAGTGTCAAAAAGAATTTTCCTTGACATAAGTAGCATGCTTCTCTGCCACATACCCACTTCACTCAAGCTCTGATTGGAACAGTGTTTAAATGTGTAGATGATCGTGTAGTAAATTGAAATGTAACTCCCAGAATTATCACACTTACAAGATATTTACATACAAATAATACACACCCTTTTCTTTGAATTTTACACCATCTTCTAAATTTCCACATATTGTTTCCTTTACCATCAACAAATTATGTACCTGTGAACTGAGAGCATGTTACATGCAAATATTCCATAACTAATTTTGCATTTTTTCTTAATGCTCACATAGTTTAAATTTCTGTGTAAGTTGATATCTGAGTTATGAAATACAAAAGGTAAAAATAACATTGATACTAAGATTTATGAGTATACAATAAATATTGAGATTTATACACTTCAGAAAAAAAATTAAAAACCCCAACCACCAAAGTCCTGTATTATTGAAGACCTCTAAAGGGAAATTAGATCACTTAAGCAGGAAATTCTGACATACCTAACATGCTTGATACACCAGTTTTGGAACTTCTCATGTAGCAATAAAATACGCTTCAACTTTTGTAAAAATACGGATTACTGTCCTAATTTACCATTTATTTTGGCATCCCTGATAATTAAGAATAAATTATCAAGGAGGAAGAGTACCAATTAACCATAATACAATTTTTTATAGTTAGTTTTTCCTACAGCTACTTACTGTCATTTTTAATATCAAATTATAAAGAAATGGCCTTATACATTAAGAATCTCTTAAGAATATTAGAAATGCTATTGATACAGAAGCAAAAAAACCCAAACAAAAAAAGGAGTCATTCTACTCCTCCCAATTCATTCTAATCTTCAGAATATTTAGAAACAAGCTTTTACTCATACAGAAAAAGATTTACTTCAGGAAATATATGGCCTGGGTAGACTAATCCAGCATTCTGGATTTAAGAGGAGCATCATGGGTGTGGTGGGTAAGTACAGGGAAGAGTCGACAGAGTGCTCTGAACTGTTTGTGCTTCAACTAAAAGACTACATTGTTCAATTGCAGATAAGTGCTTCAATTTTAAGTAAAATTTTTATTTAAAAAAATACCTCAGGAACTGCAGCTTCCACTAGAAGAGGAGGTGGTATACATCCACTTTCCTGGGTAATCCCTACTGGCTGATAAATGACTTCAGATGGTTGCAGATACAACAATGAAGGTGAAGAGGGAGGAGACTGAAATAAAACACATTCTTTTCATAAATTATGATTTATGCATGATAAATACCAAAGCTTATTTTACAGTCTTCTTTGCTACGCATCAACAAAGATAAAGCTTTAAAGCTAAGTATCAAATTCATTTTTGATAACCTAAAAAAATTAAGCGAAGGAGAAGAAGGTAGAAAAGTCAGGTAGTAGAATATAACAAAGATGTCCTTTAATCCCTTTTATATATTTTTCAGATTTTATTTATGATTTTGAGAGCACTATTAAAGAAGTCCTGAACTTTTATAAAAATTGACACTCTTAATGACAGAAACATAATACAGTTTAATTTTCTCTTGCAAAAATGTTACCACAAGTATTTTCATTTTTAAATAAAACCCACAGTACTTCTCCAATTCCGTACCCAGATTTCAAAGCAGCACACTGGCACCTATTAATAGAGTAGAATTGATCGTAACTGGACAAGGCTGGCTGCTGTTAACGTAACGAGGACACGTTGTAACAGTTCAAGCTTAAGGGACTTGGTTCTCCTTTTAGCTTCAAACTCTTCAAGTTCCTTGAGTGGCAAGATCTCCATATTAAGCTCCTCTGCTACAGGGATCACGAAAGCGGTAAGTCTCTCCCAAAATTACTAAGTTAACAATTGCAAGTTCTTCCTCCTATTTCAGAGGTCTCGGTCTAATTTCAACATACTTCTGTGTATACATGCCTCTGCTGGCAATACTCCTAATATCAGTTAGTGAGCTGGTTAACACTAATGTCCCTCCTATCAGACAAGATACAGGAGTTTTTACCTGCTTCTGAGAACTTACTAGATAATTTAATATAAACTTTTTGCCAGACAGAGAAGGGACAGGAAGATGCTTTCTTTACACCAGATTTGTATTTAATGTTTCAATAAATGCTTGTTTATGCCTCCTATTGTGGCAGAAAGTGTTGCAAATGCCTTGCTAAAATATAGCAATTAATATTTACTTCAATAGTGTTGTGAATAGTGGGAAGTTTCACTGTTAGATAAGTGCACAGTACCTTTAAACTAGATGCAAACTAATGGTAAGATGCTGTAACTATGAACTATATTTACCTGTGGAACAGACCACTGCCACTGACTTGGAAGACACTGTGTTGGTGCCTAAATTCAAACAAGAAGAGATATTACTCACGTGATTAAGACCGTATGCATACACACACTAGAACTCCCAACATACTAGAATCAAAACTATCTCAAATCTATAATAAATTCTTAATTAACAAGTGGCATGATTTCATAGTCCCCCAAGTAATTCAGGAACATAGTTTTGTCTACTTCCACTCAACCTCTGACTTGGGCATTTCATAAGCTCCTAGGCTTCTAAAACACTGAAGCATCTAAGAAGCAGGCCTAATTAGGAAAACAGAAGATGCAAAATGCAGTTAACTTTCCAATACACAATAAAAACACACATGCTGCATAAGTCCAGTAGTGGGCCACCATGATGGCTAGGGGATAATTATTGCTGGCTACAGCTACCTAAGGGGGCGTGGGCCATAAACATGACTGAGCCAGATTCTCGTCAGAGTTGTTCAGAGCACAACAGTGCAGACAGAGGCTGAAACATTGAAAGTTTTTTTTTTCCTTATAGCTAGTTAAAAGTCCTTTATTATGAGAAGGGACAAATGTTGGAAGAGGCTGTCCAGAAAGGTTGTGGAAACTCCCTCACTGGACAAGCGCCTGAGAAACCTGATCAAACCAGCCCTGCTTTGAGCAGGAGTTTGGCTTAGACAAAAGTTAAGAACAGTACTAAGCCATTTGTCTAGCAACACCAAAGAAAACTTTAATTTATTACATTTCCATGTAGTTACACAGGCAGAATAAGTTGTATTATTAGGAAAAGCAAACCTCTGATGAAATTAAAGTCTCTTTTGTATTATCACTTAGAACAGTCTTTTTATTTCCTAAGACTAAACAGACCCAAGACAGTGCTGCAAATAAGACTGAATGGCTGGAAGCAATACTGATGGTCTGAAGCCCGTTTTCAAACACATACCTGATAATGGTAGGTAGGAGACTGATAAACCGGTTGCGCTACCATCATAGGTGAACTGGAAACTGAGCGCGACTTAAAAAGAAAAGGGTTACAAGTTTAATGCAACGATTTCGTAAGGTATTAATATCTTTAATTATGTTTTCTGTAACATCAAGTTTTCAGGTTTTTTCCTTAACTTTTTTATATAGTTACTTTCCTAATGATTAAAATTAAAAATATGTAAATAACTGAAACCAAAAGAGGCAGCAGTATTCCTAATTGGAAAGGCTGAGTGCTATTTGAAACACAGTGGATCTGAGCCAGGACACCAGAACCAAAGTTCAGTACTAGAATACAAAAAGTATTGTTTCCAAAAGGCAGGATTTGGGAAAGTTCTTTAGAACTATTAAGCATGAACTTCAAAAAGGCTTTCTAAAAATATATGAACAGGCGTTTATGCTTATGCTCTAAAGTTGAGGAGGCACTGTATCATTCCTCTGTTGGAAGAGCTAGTATCTTGGAAGTTAAGAAAAGTGGTTAAAACAGAGATTAAATACTGAGAAAAAAGACACTACAGTGCCAAAATAAATAACATTAAAGATTCTACTACTGCTCTTATCTCTCTTTTGGGAAAGCTTTTTTTTACTAGTAGTAATTCTTCTACTGAGTTCCCCCCCCAGTACATGAAGGGATTTTCCATTCGTTTGTAAAGACAGTATGTGCAGCTTCTGTGAATGCTGCTTTTACAGAAACTGGTAAGGATGCATCCTCTACATATATCCTGTGCCTTATGCAGACCCCATCAACGTTGCAATCCTTCGGCCTTGTAAAAAAGCCAAACCAACTGAGATAACTGACAACTCCTTCCTGCACTTCCCAGGAAATTGTCCAAATTCCCCAAGCCTACTACAATCTAACAAATTATCTTCCTCTTAAAACAAGCAGAATTTGTGAAAAAGAAGATGTGAATGACTATAAAACCAGACAATTTCGCTTTTGCTTTGTTTCTCTTTTCATCAGCAGCATAATATTTTGAAGTCAAGAACACCTCACTTTTAGAAGAATAATAAATGGAGCCAATCAAGGGTCATAAGCACCAACAGTTCCTTAGTAAAACAGAACCAGGAGAACCTGGGTAGGGCCCACACTCATTCTGAACTACTCTGTCCAGCAGGTCACATCAAAGCAAAGTCCCCTGCAGAAGAATAAACTTAAGCATTATTTAAAAACACAAAATAAGCAGACTAATATAGGAAAGCCATTTAAACATCAAACACAAAGCACAGCCAAAGAAACTGAAAGCAGGGACTTGAAACCACTGCACTCATCCTGGTCCACAGAAAAGCATATGTACAAAACCAAATTACTTACTGGCCATGGCTGCGTAACAGAAGTGACTTCAGGTGTATGAAAATAGGCCACTCCATTGTGGTAAATATAGGGATATCCACTTGAAGTTGTTAAGTACATCGTACCACCTTCTGGTATTGCAGCAGAACCTGGAATTAATATCTTAAAGTTTACTTACCAGCAACTTTTTTTTTTTTAAGATGCGTAGGTCAAAAAAAAAAAGAAAGGATCATTTCTGATCTTCAGAGAAGCAAAACACTCAAAGTGAAGAACACAAGGCAATGTGCTTACTGCCATCTCAATTGTCTCTCAAACACAAAATCATGAAAGTAGATGGTCACAGGATGTCAGCAAGGCAGCAGCAGCACTGGCAGCAGCGACAACAAGAACTGAGGTAAGCCCAGGGCTTGCTTTGCTCATGACTGAGCAAAGATCATGCTGAATAATTTCTACAGCAAAGAAACTATACAGTTGGAACAAAGCATTCAATTTCTCCTGGGCAAACACTATCCCTACACACTTAGAAGAAGGGCATATCTATGCATGAGGGGAGGAAGAGACAGAAGTGTCCTGTCTACAGAAAGCAGGTGTGCACCAACAGTGTTAGCTCAGCGGATAAATATGGAAGGAAAGTTACAAAAGTGTACACTTCATTCCCTGCTGCACTTAAAAAATGAATGCATTTTATACCTCTGACACAGAGCCCTTACTGAGGAATACCAAACCAGCATGCACTGCTATGCCAAACACTGACACATCCTGTCTTAAAGGGTGGCAATTTATATCCTACATTTTCAGTAGTCTATTATAGAAATAAAACAGCTCCTGGTAGAAGGAGATGGCATCTTCTCTAGAAGAAAATTTGTCTTCTGTCTCCCCCAAAAGAACATCGTAACAGCATACTTGCTCAAGACACAGAAGTTATTCATCTGAATACAGAAGTGTTCAATCTAAGTAGTTATTTGCCAAAAGAGGAACATACAGCATCCATTCCATTATCTACAGCAAAGAACTCTTAAGAAACAAACAGTGACTGCAACCACTCATTCCTTACGGTTTCTACCAGAGAAGGCAAGATACAGCAGTCCTGATGGATTTTACCAATATAAATAAATAGGTAACAACCCAACCCATCAGCACAGCCTGCTTTATCCTGTAGAATCTGTGAGGACAGTTTAAGTGTTTAGATTTGAAATTCTGCCTGGCAACCAAGAAAAATTTCCATTCAGTTTTTTCCTAGATAATCTTTTCCAAAGAAAGTAAATAATAGCCTAAAAGAGATAAAGGAACCTAAGATCAATCTGTTTATTTGGACATTTCCACTGGCATGCACGTACTTCCACTGCAAACTCTTCTGAGCTCACTGCACACACAGAGCATTAGTAGAGTGCATGATCAAGCACATCTTTACTAGGAACTTACATTTGTTGTGACACATAATAAACAAATAAAAAAATACATACGAGAACCCCGTATTTGCTGTTTTCTTATTGCTGGACCAATATTCAATTTCTTATCCTTATAATTAAGTTTTTTAGCCTAGAATTAAAGAAAAAAAAGACATTCATTATGCATATTTCTACACATATCTAGCCATCCAAGAAAATAAAATCAGAAGTAAACAGGCACTTAGTAGGTCCCTACCCTGTTTTTTATTTTCAGTGCATCTCAAAACAACCAAAAGTTATACTAATTCCTTTTCAATCTAAACTTAGACTTCACAGACAAAATTAATCATTAGTAATTTCAATTATTACCTGCTCTTCATGGAGCCTCTTGAATAACAACTAATACCAATAATTTCCTTGTGTACACAGACTGATAATTTCAAGTATAAAGATTAAACTTAATTTAATGGATTACCATTGGATGCTAATCGTACTTGATACTAGTTCACAGAAAAAAAAACACCAAAAAAAACAGAGGAAGAAAAGTACCTCACTCAAGTTCTTGTCTGTATATTCTTCTGGCTCCACATAACCATATTTTTTGAAGACTTCCTTGAAAGAGTCCCAGCTTTTACTTTGATTTTTAGTATGTGAATTCTCAGCATTTTAACCAGCTTTCTATTTGGAGAAGACCATCTGCAAGCCTTGGATACCATTTTCTGGGGTCCCCCCCACCCAGATACCTCACGTATGAATACATCCTGACCAACAGATCTCTCCAATACATTTCCAACAGAAGACTGAGCGCACGTTGAAAAGAAACAAACCAAAGGGAAGTGCTAATATACATGTCTCAAGGGAGGTTCTACAAGGAGCATCAAGACAGTAGCACAGTAAAGACAGAAAGCAAGAATTCCATAAGATGAGCTTCATTGTTCAAGACTTCAAGAGAACCTAATTATTCCTGAAAAGAATTACCTCAGCTCTGACAATCAAACATGTCAGAATGAAAGACAGCAGTCGTCTTTCCCAACTACCCACAAAATCTTGACAGCAATGGATTTTCTAGTAAAGGAAATGAAAGCAATTGTGAAGGGTAGAGTCTTTATAGCTCTATATATACTATAGAACACATAAAGACTAAGAAAGAATAGACTATGTCAAAAATCAACTCCCTTCCCTAGTTCCAGAAGACCTCAGTATAAATCTTGCCTTATATCTAAGCCATCTTCTTAACTATGCGGACCAAACTTAAGAGATCTTCAAATCCAAGTTGGCAAACAGAAGAGAACCAGACAACCAGGGCTACTTAGTATCTAACAGGAAATGAAGTATTTCGCTTCAGAGAAAATCGTAACAGGGACTATTGCTTACCTCTTGTAAAATCTTCTGTGCATCTTCTTGGGTTTCAAAAGTAACAAAGCCATACCTGAATAAAAATTACAGAAGCTAAGTCTCCAAAGTTCATATTTGCATGTATTGCACATTATTACTTCATATATAGTGCAAACAACCTTGAACGGTAAACTAATGAAAAAAAAGTCATGCAGTAACAACTGTAATCTTAATTTGACATCCTAGCTATAGTCTACTTACTAATGTATTTAAGTACATCATCATATATTATTGTTTCTATGCAGTGAATCAGTAGCCCATGTGAGTTCTCAAAAATTCTCTGTATTGTCTTCGTTACTCAGTGTATGTCTTTAGGTCCTTCATTTCCATTAAACCAAGTCTCTGACCAGCTGTACTTTTAAATCTTCAAAATGGGCTTTTCCTGTATTGACTTTTACAAACAAATTTGGACACATTTCCAAGTTCAAAGAACAGACACTATTTTCCTAGCTTGGGACCTTACCTACACAGACTTTTAACTCTATGTGGTATCTAGACAATAAACTAATAGACATAATCACATGTATGTTAAGTGATGACAGCATTAAAATTATGATATGCTGACACCACAGGCTTACTGATCAGAAGAGAACTTCTGACCCAAGTGAATTTTACATGTACAAGTTCCCAGGCACATTCCTTTTTGCTTCAGCCCTCTTTCCTCCCTTCTGTGACAGTTCCCTCCCTTATTTCTTTCACCATCCTTTGGGTTCTAGCAATAACTTTACTACCCAGACTTAACCTTTCTCCAGATTTGCTTTTTGGCACTTCTGTTGTTGTTGACTTCCAGTCTTGGTCCCCTCTTCTGCAATCATGATTCATTGACAGATTTCTGTGCTACCCCTCCTCCCCCTGCCCATGTTCTTGTTCAAAAGAAACCTTAATACAAAATCTTAAGTTATTGCCACGTACTCCAGCACAACCAGGTCTATCTCACCTCTTCCTCCATTCTTAGGCTTCTTTCCATACTGGTTTTCAGTAATAGAAATACATGTTTAATAGCTCAGTTACCCTTTTTAGGATTATCTATCTAAATTATTGTTGTCATAGAAAAACTCAAAGGACTATTGATTTTTGTCTTAGTTGCACAGAGCTTTATCTTATATTACAATAACTCGACTATAGAGGTTTACATTTATACAAGTTACAAAGACATTTATATGAAGATGTTAAAGGGCAAGAGGAGATTTTTGCATACATAGAATAACTGGGAATTTCAATGACAAAGTTAATATTCTAAGCTATGAAAGTCATAATCAAATTTACTATAGTCATTATATTTTCATTTCCCACAGCACTATACTTATACTACTGTACTAACCCTTTTGATACTCCAGCTCTGTCATTTACTATCTTCACTTCTTTCACACTGCCGTACTGAGCAAAAAACTTCCTCAGATCATTTTCATTAGTCTAGTACAGTAAATCAAGGAGGGGGAGAGAAAAGTTGGCTTGCATAGTTATTCAATGAATATTTTCTGTAAGACTTTTAATGGATGTACTTTGGATAAAGTTTGCTACAAAGTAATTATAACCCTGGATAGGAGGAGAGAAGAATGAGCATGTATGAGCCCCACAGCAAGAGAACAGCATCCTTGTTTAATTACTGCTTTTTTGTATTCAGCAATAATGCTAGAAAACCACTAAAATACTAAAAATCATCTTTCAGTGAATTTATGTAACAACTGTCCCTTTACAGGCAAGGTCACTGAGGCAGGTTCCTAGGTCTGAATTTTGGTTTCTGCAAATTTTGTACTAGAGTGCTGTTTACAACATGAAATATCACTGCTGTGTTTTCAAACTTCAAAACAGCAGAGTGTGTAGACTTCCATAAAGGATATGCATAGGTCCACGTGAAAAAATCCCCCTAAACCACTGTAACTTAATGGTCAAATCAATCTAATGTACTGCAATTCCTCTTTTTCAAGAATGTTTAATCTAAGACTCTGCAAATATGTATAGGCATATCACAGGAAACCTCCATTATAAAGTAGGACAAGGTCCTTTTAATGGAGAATGTTGTAAATCCACTTGGAGGAAACTGTTCCCTTCTGAGTATGCATAGAGAAAGTCAAGTTCCTAATATATAGGCACACCTAAGCTATGGGAACACTCATCTACATTCTGTGAATCAGTTTTCTTTTACAGTGTAAGCAAGTATCAAATATAGTGCCCTAAACACCGTATTTCAGATTTAATTTTTTTTTCTACATGGTCCATAGTTAATATTATACCTAATGCTGGAAGAAGTATGCTTATATGCATGGATCTCTATATGATTCAAGCAATTTCTATAGTCATCTGTACCTTTTGTTATTTTTAAGGACATGTATCAGAAGTACTATTTTACCTGTGAGTGAATGACTTACTGTTTTATTTAAAAGAGTATGTATGCAATTTAGTAAATCCTCTCCCGTGCATCAAAGTTTGAAAAGCAAAAAGAACTTAAAGAAACAGAAACTAAATTTAAACAACTGGAAAGAATATGAGTAATTCTACCCTCAAGCCACATTTTACAAAAATAAGGAATTCAGCTTGCTTGCTACAACCTCTAAATCCAACAGAGAGCATTAAGGGTAGCAGATTGCTTTATCTCCCTCACTAATCCAAGCATTCAGGCATTAAAATATTAGAAAACAGTCACTCTGAAAGTGTGAGGAGTAAGAACAGACAACTGCACTAAACAGGCATGAAATGCTTCAATGTTTTATTAAAGTTCAGTAATTGTGTCCTCTCCCTGGAAACTACCTGCACTGGTTCTTGAGAAACTACCCGTCATGGAAAAGTTAAAAAAATTTCTGACTGGAGTCCAGAACCACTCTCTTGAATAGATGATCATGCTTTATGCCTGAAAAGAAGGCTGAAAGCCTGTGTACACAGGAAAACAGATTCAGCCAAACAACTGATAGCTTATATAAAACAATTCTGCAGCCCATGCTGAAGTGGTCTCACATTCTTGAGTAACAAAAAGCACATACAACATACAGAAGACTCATACTGGAGATTTTCCTTTCCCTTAATATTTTTCCCAATGAAGATCAAAATGTACCTGCTTAGACATGAAAGGCCTATAGATAAAATTTCTCATTTCTGGAAGATTGTTTCTTTTAAGCTTCAGATGCAGCTCAGCTGCTTCACAAAGATGAGAAAAAGAACCTGTAACAAAATAGTAGAAAGCTAGAATACACCAAGAAACAACCTAGGAGTCCTAAAGACTAATCTGTCCTGAAAGTGTCATTCAGTATCTCAAGGACACGAAGGATGGCTACACAAGACTATAAACACAGAAAGCCAGAGGTTTATCTGCAGAGCAGTGTATTAAATGGGAACATGAAGGAAACACAATTCACATAGAAATCTGCAAGTATCTGGACAAACACGGTATCTAGAAGCTTGCCAGAAACACTTTCAGGACTTGCCTTTTCCTGCTCATGACCAGACAAAGGTGCTTATCAGATTCTTAAGAAAAGCCTTCACTCATGTCAAAGATACACAGCATACACCACTGAAGAAACAGCTCTTCAGACCAGTACAAAACTGCACTCAACTTCTCTTACAAATTGTTTCTCTAAGTTTAAGAGGTCAGACGTTTCCTCTGTACAAAGAAGAATCACTGCTACAGTGACAGACCAAATGGATGTGGCTAAATGATAAAAAAGCTTGCTGAAAAGAAATAATTTTTTGTTAAGCGTCTCACTTTTTAGCTTTTTCCCACTACCCCACAGTGCCCCAAGGGGGACCTTTGAAGGTAAAAACCCAAAACACCCAATGCTTTTTGCCATAAGACTTACAAGAAAAAAAGTAAAATCCAATACTGACCTATATATCCCAGAATTTGAACAGAAATTGAAGGCTCCACTTGATATCAAGAGTCATAGGTAAATGGAAGAGTACCCAAAACGTCTGTACAGAGATTTCATCCCTTTTTTCCCTTTTCCCAATAAAATCCATCTTCATGTTTATAGATACAAATACACTTAATTCCTCTGTTGTGGAAATTAAGATTCATAATAGATTTTTACTTATCAGCAACTGAAGCAAAAAGTCAAGAGACTCTTCAAAATGAACACTAAATATGACAATTAATGAGAATATTGATATGTTATGCAGAAAAGTGTTTTAACCCTTGAAATTGCAGTGAAGAAAGAATAGAATGAGACAGGTCTTTTTACATCTCTGGTAATTTGCTTACTATTAATGCAAAAAGCTACTGTGCCTCTTAGCTAAAGCCCAACACACAGAACACCTCTTGAATTATGAATGCCTCCATTTGAATTATCTCAGGCAAATAAGCCAGAAGATCCTGGAATTTCTTGTTTTTATTATGCAAAGTAGTCTGAGTGAATTGTCATTCTTCTACTATTCATCTGAGTCAGTGCTCAAAAGGTCCTCAGCCTAGGAGGATTAAGGCAGAGAAGATACTGTTGATGGGAACAAAGAAACAGCTAAGCAGACCAACAATGTTTTGCAAAAGTCAATGACTTAATTTATTATCTAGAGTGGTAGGAAAGCAAAATGTGAGTAGCTGGAATATAGGTCTGATGCATATCTTGCTACAAATGTTCAAAGTGATTGAATAATGTAAGAATTGTTCAATATTCACCGCTACTTGAGGATTTTAGGGCATATGCAAAGGTACAAGCATCCTAAGAATTTAGATCAGTACTGCAAGTTGCCCAGAGAAGCTTTACTATTTGTTTTAAAACAAACACTTGCTTTTAAGAGAATTACTATGGTGAGGAATACATGCACTGTATCTCCTTTTTTGAATGACCTGGAAGAAAAGTGCTAGAGGAACTGAAGCTATTGACATTTGCTCTGTTTGCAATCTGTAACATTGTGTTTATGGTTTAATAAGTGTTATACATAATAAAAAGCCTTATACATGCTTTTCTACCATAAGCTCTGCTGATTACAGAAGCCACCTTCTTTGAAAAGAGAAAATTCTGAAGAACCAGTACATCAAAAGCTTCTAGCAACCAGGTGTACAGAATCAACTTTGTAGTACAGTTATGCAAATCAAGGCTTCAACCTCTATTCTCTACTGTTGATTTGAATGTTATAGTGAAGGGTACTTACCACCTAAGCAAACACACATATGATTATGTCTCACTTTTTTTCCCTACTGATTTTTATAAGGTTATAAATTATCATTTAGTAGTAAAATTAGGAAAAAATTACCTTAAAATCAATTCCTCCTACAAAGATGCGATTTGGAGTAACTGTTCCAAACCTTGGAGTACTGGTCAGATTACTTAATGGCACTGGTGACACAGTGTTGGGAGATGAAGATAAAGATTCTGTTTGTGTCTGATTTGTGGTCTGCTGATTGAAAGAACACATTTTCAGATATTTTCAATATCTTACATGTTATAAGCTATGAAAGAAAAAATTCTCAACAGGAAAATACATACAGAATTTTTTGGGAGGCACAGCAAATGCTAAACAACAACATTTGACTACATAATTCTAATCAGAAAGCAGCTTAGCAAAGTATTTAAACATAAGCTTAGTTTTAAACAATTCAGTTAACTTAGTGAATATGCTAGGGTCCGAAGTTTCTGAGTAATGCCTTAATGCTGTTGTTTTGGATACCTTAAAGTCAATAAATCCAGCTTAGTCCATGTCTTTTTAGTTTTAGGGCAGACAAAAATTTACTAAAACATACATGTTGGGGCTGAGGAAAAACCCAAGCCTTTAACTTGGAGAAAATATGCATTCAGGCGGTAGTACGGGTTCCTCCTGGGAATACTGTCCTAGAGTAGCAACTAACCTGAAAAAATACCCTAATGCTTGCAGGTCAACAACAGTGATAATCCCTACAGTCCCAAAGGCTTTAGGAGGAATGTTTTCTGCTGAAAACATCTTTTGAAGGATGATGAAACAGGTTATTTTGTTTATCTCTCTCACAAAATACAATATTCAACTTGTATAATCATCAGGTGACTGTGTACAGCACTAAAATATCTGAATTTAACTATAAAGTAACAATTAACAGCTGACACCACAGCCAAAACGTATTCCTTATCCCAAAGATCTCAAATTTCATTTTCTCCACACAAATTTTAAGAGTTTTAAGCCTTATTAAAAAAAAAACCCACCACAACACCAAAAATGCAAATGGAAGACATGTGGAATTAAACACATCACTCGTGAATTCCCAATCCAGTAAACCCAAACGAAATTTAAAAATCTTAAAATCTGTATTCTGATTGTTACCTCAACATCATTTCTTTTCTAATGTCCATGCAGCAATAAGAAAACAGGATTTAATAGAGTTCTATGCACTAGCAGCATGCCACTTGCCTGTTTCTGCTTTTATAGGTTTTAAAATTTATTTTTTATTCCCCCCCCAACAGTATGGATATGTATATTTATCACTACTTTTATGGGTTATTTAGTGGGTTTGACAACTGCTCTTTACCAGAATTGATAATTGCTCATTTTCTCATTTTTATGTCGAACACACCCACGGCCAACCAAACAGTACAAAGGCTTGGTGATCAATCCCACCTTACCCCCTAAACACACCCCCACCCCTTTTTTTTTTTCTTTTTTATTTTTACAGTCAGTGTCCCATAATGTCAGCAATTAGACACCCCTCCTCCCCAGGCATCATGTGCCGCTGCAGACCTGAGGCAAGGGCAGCGGTTTACCCCCAAGGTGAATTCACCACAGCAGGCCGCACCACAGAGGAAATGGCGGCGCCCGCGGGGACGGGGCCACGGCCGGGCCAGGGCCGCAACCGCCGCCGCCAGTGAAGGGCGCTCAGGCGGGAAGGCCGCGCTCCCACCCCCCTGCCCTCCCGCCACAGCGACTCCCCGGGCGGCGGCCCCGTCGCCCCGCCGCGCTCCTCACCGTGCCGTCGGGCTCCATCTGTCCGTCGTCGTCGTCGTCGCCGCCGCCTCAGCCCCCGGCACGTTACCGGCACGCGTCGCACTCTGCAGAGAGAGGCCTGCAACGGGCGAGGGAAGAGACACCCCGGCGGCCAGCGCCGCGGGCCGGGGCGGCACTCAGCGGGGGAAGCGGGCCGGGGCGGGGGTCGGGAGCAGAGGTGGGGCAACCGGGGAGGGACAGAGCAGCCTTTCCTCGCCCCAGCGCCGGCCCCCACCCTCAAGGTAGACACCTCCCCGCTGAGGGGGCGGCCCCCGCTCCCCGCCGCCCCTCAGCCCTCCCTCACGCGGGAACCCTCTCCTCGACGCGCCGGGGGCGTCGTCTCCCCTGACAGAATGCCTGTGGGCAGCGGGCGGCTGAGGTGCCGCTTCCCCCTCCCCGCTTTCCCCGGCGCCTCCCGGTACCGTCACTCACCGCCCGCCCCGCCTCAAGGCCCTGAGGGGCCCCCGGCCTCCCCGCCCCGGGGCCGGTAGGGTCTCCCGAGTCCCGGCCGCTTCCTGCCCGCGGGCGTCGTGTCACCGGCGAGCTCTCGCAAGGGGAACAGCAGTAGGCAGGTTGGAAAAGAAGGAGGCTGCCGGCATTACCCCCAGGATAGCACAACGAAGCCCTGGGGCTGAAGGAAGAACCTCCCTCCAGGTCCGTCCCCGCCACCTGAGAAAGCAGGTAGGAACCTCCTGCTGTGTTTTTATCCCCTCAACCAGGGAGTGAAACAGGGAGGAAAACAGGATCATGCATTTCACCTGTCCTCCGGCCTCCACCAGAGAATGCCCAACCACTAAAATACCCAGTGAGGCTGTTCCTGGGGTCTGAGTCACCAGGCCGTGCTTGGTGGAGGCAAAACCATAGCTTAGGCTTTACGACTCAGCATGAAGAAGTGAAAGTCCTTACTTCAACTCAAAGAGACTTCCCAAGGTTCCTAAAGAAACTCTCAAAAGTAGGCAGGCTGCCCTGAGAATGGTGTGGGATAACCTTAGAGATGTAATTTGGCATCCACTAGAAAATACTGCTCACCTTCATGACCGCTTCTCAAAATATTCCATCTATTTTTTTCAGCCTTTACCCAGCTGGAGGAGAAGCCCCACTTGTGTGGGATGTACTTCTGTGGTCATCTAATGAACAGCACTACAACTTGCTCCCCTCTTCGGCAATTTCATCTTGTTTGCGAATGCACGTTGCCCTGAAAATAGCTCTGCTGCTAAACAGGTCTGGAAAAAAGGAGTGATTCAAATGTCAAGCTCATAATCAACATAGTTACAATGTACAGCCTGACAAAAATGCTTGATTTGATGATGGCGAGAGCTGGAATGCAGACAAATGCGTGCTGGGAGAACCACTCCAGTGGGAAAGCTGCCTTTCAAAGTGATCAAGCATCGACAGGGTAAGTCACAGCAGCTGAACCCCAAGATAAAATGTCAGGATCACTGAAGGGTCAATTTATCATTGGCTACTCTCCTGTTTTACTTTTGGGGGTATTTTAGAATAAAGGAATAGTATCTTCATAATGTCTACAATTAAATATATTTTAGTTTAATTCAAATCTTTGTGTCTTGCTTAAGTTTGCTTTATGCAAATTATACCAATCCAACCTAAACCCAGCAGCACTTTCCTTTTAAATTACATCATTTAACTCTCACCAAGTATAGGCAGGGCACGGACCTGCAGTCCTTATATAGGACCCTATACTGCTCCTTGTATTTCTGGTGTTGCTTCAACATCTACCAGCTTCTGCAACATTATTGTTACCACAGGGAATAAAAAAAAGCTAAAAGGGATTTTCTAATAATTCTGTGTCTGTGATATGAAACAATATAATGCTTAAATCTTAGTAGTGACTGTTTTTTTAGCTGAGAAAACTGTATAAAAGCAAAGGCAATTTTAGCAGAGCTGATGAGATTTTTAGAAATAGTTATTTTGTGAGATTGCAGAACTCTGTTGAGTTGCATTCCTTGACTTTTAGTGATATTTATCAGACAGTAACAAAGCTTATCCTAAGAACAGCACTACATTTTGATGATGAGAAAGGTAGAATGGGCCAAGCCTTTCATGTGCTTTATATCTTGATTTGGGGAATCTAAAGTCAGAACAGCTGAAAGAATACAGAAACATTCAGAGACATGAAAGTACATTTTGCATAGTTTTAATTGTCATATCTTCTACATTACACCTTCTCTTCAAGTTAAAAAAACTAAATCTGGGACATTTACATTTAAAATAAGGCAGTTGTGACAAAAGTAGGACTTCTGCAAATAAATGAGAAAGATTGAGCATTTTTTTATTCTGATAATTTAAAAAGTGAAAATCTGAAAAGCCAACACATTTATAAATTTAACAAGATTACTAGCAGAGCTGCTAAAAAATGTTGCCACGCATACAGGATTTAAATATTACAACAAAGGTTGCTGGGCTGCCCTAGCACTGTGTGGCTGCTTCATTAAGGGAATAGTATCCTGGCTGAGGAAGTCACTCTCAAAGGCAGTCAGGAGTGTGTCTGTTTTTCCTGACTCTGCATGTCAGCAATACACACAGCATGAAATGATCTCTCCTACTGTTCTCTCCCACAAATTAAAAGGCAGTGCTGGACAAGGACAAGAGTCTGACTGTGCTGGTTCCTGCAGGCTCTTGCCTTTTGTCCTTTTTTATAGCAGCAGAGAAAGTCAGAGGTTAAATGAGGAATGATAAACTGAAAGAAGGAAGAGAAAAAAATAGGGAGAAAAAATGATTTGGGAGGAGAAAGGAGGAAAAGAATTCTCCAGGCACAAAAAGACAAGGATGATTTTATGAGTAATACAGGGCCTGGCAAGAGACTGCTATTTCACTGATTGATTCCCTGACCTTGGAAAAGACATGCTACCTGTTCTGCTTCTATTACTTATCTGTAGATAATAATGCTAGCTTTCCTACCAGCATCTTAAGATCCTTTTGTGGAAATATGAGCCTTAATATATTGTTGTCAGGCAGGGAGAGCCAGACTGTATCTGATGGAAGATTACTTACTTTCAGCTCTCAATTTCATAAAAATGTCTCTTAGGATGTTACTAAAAGATTGACTTCTGTCTCTGTTGCATAGAGTACAACTGTATTAAAAAGAAATCTGTAATTTATGAAGATGTGCACAGTGATTTGTCTTACAAGCTTGTGAATGGATTCTCTAGACCTTGAGCCATAACCAGAACAATTTAAAATCCAAGAGCTCTTATGTATTCAAGGGTTTTGGGGAGATCGCCTTAGAGAGTTAACAGTGCTTAGAAGCAAATGATGGTGGTCACCTAAGGCATACCACTGAGTAAAAAGATTATGGCCAGTGCCATGTGAAAAATGCAGAAGGAAATGACTTGTTTCTGGGTGTGTGTATTTCTCTAATATGACATTTCCATCTTACAGTCCCTTTTCTCGCACCATTCCCTAGTTGGACACATCTCCCTTCTAGATGAGCCATGACTCCTCACCCCACACCAATTTCTACCATTCTTTCTGCTCTTTGTCTCTCTTCCTCCTATTTGGTTTCTGCTTGCCCTAACTATACTCTTGATTGCTTCTTCTTGTCTCTGTCGTCCCCCTTTCCTCATTGTAATGGCTGCACTAGTATCCTCTACTGCTTTAACCCCCGCAGTCATCACAGGGTGGGTACTGGGGGCCTCTGGCAGGGTACTGGGTACTTGGTTTACTAAAGGACTCTAGAGTAGTATTGGGAAGGCTCTGAAAGGTGCTGGGGGCACTGGGAGAGTGTATAGGAGCTTTAGGGGGTACTGGGCTCACTGGAGAGGTATGGGGTAGCTCATGTGTCTATCAGGAAGACTGCAGGTACTTGGGGGCCCTGTTGGCTTCTGAAGAGTTCTAAAGGCTGGGTATTGGGGTGGGTGAGTGGGGTTCCCACACACTTTCCTATGGCTCCATCAAGCTGAGCTGCTCTACCCCTATCTGAGTTTCTTATTTGTTTCCTGTTTCTTATTTTCCCCACCCTCAGCAGTGGATGATCCAGAAGAACAGGAGAGTTGGATGGTCAGTGCACTGGACTATTCTCCCAATACTATTTTCCCAGAGTGGTAAATTTCCTACATTATAAAAGCATCCTCATTCAGTCCATCCTTGCAGAATACTGACATTATTATGGATTCTTTCTGTCTCAAAATGTATCAAGGCAATGAGTGATTTCTTTCAAATTTGAAGACATACTTAGATGTAGTTTAAAAATACCTTATTTTTCAAAAGTAATGGTCAGTATTAGATTATTGGAACAAAGTCACTATGTAAGGCTGGCTTGTTTTCTGTCTCATTTCAGAGTTCAGAGTACATGAGCTTTATTTACAAAGGCGTTTGTGTGCATTTTATTTTATATGTCCTCAAGGGGGAAAAACTTACTGGAAACTGCTGCATAAAAGTTCCATTGCTATTGGAACTTGTCATAATTAAAATATGGAAGATACTATTAAAAGTCCCAGATCTGGGAAAGCACTTAAAAATGTAGTAGCATCTATATTTGCACCTCAGTAAAACTGTAAAGCTTATCAGTACTTTATTAAATGTCCCTAGCAAATGGAAGAATAATATTATAATCCTTTGTTAAATCTGATAGTATGGTTATTAATAGGAAATACTAACTAGGTCTACTGAGAAATCTGATTTCTTTATGTATTGTAAAAGCATGATCCTCCAACAAAACACCATAGATATATGTCACAGGGAAATATTAATAGATCATCAGTTAGGCGGGTGAAGATAAAATTATCAGACTCCTCATTTATTTTACCTTAGTGTGACAGCCTTGATTGGTTTTTCCTCTCATTTTTTCCCCTACTGTGGTTCTTTTAGTCAAACAAAAATTTAATGCTTATCTTGGCTTTGATAAATTTCAGTTTTTTAACATTCTTTTGCAGTTGTCATAATATTATATTGTACATGTTTCACTGAACTTAATATAAAATTCTGCAGACAGAAATAAATGAGTAGGAAAGACTATAATCAATTGACATGTATTATGAAACACAACTGGGAAAAAAATACTTGCAAGAAAGATAAAGTATCAGGCTTTGCTTGCTCTGGAAGTGTAAAGCTACATGGATATAAGTGCAATTTAATAACACCTGTATGCTGCCATGATGTTAAAGAGGCTCTCTTAAAAGATAAAGAGGTTCTTTCTTTTGCAATTCATTTGACTGCCATCAGACAAAATGGCTCTGGGTTCTAATCCCACCTTTTACAACTTGATTCTTCAAATGTCATTATGTATAGGTATAGATTCTAAAATAATAAAAAAAAAAAGAAGTAAAAAAGAATCTCACTGTAGATAGGATGCTGTTAATTCCACATACTTGGGGAAATTTTTAAGAGTCAGGTTGTAATTTCCTATTCTAATATTCTATTTATTCTATTCTATTTTTTCTTTATGGTGTTTTAGATCCAATGGTCCAAAAGGCCATTCTGTCTATTGACTTTAGTGATTTGAAGTAGAATGCCACAAAAATACTGTGAAAGA